GGTTACAAAATGACCGTATGTTAAACCATTGTCTATTTGAAAAGGATAAAAAAATACACCATCCATCTGGTAGACTGTAAACTTTGGGGGAAGAAAAAGTAACGGTTGTCAAGGAAATGAGTGAGGTTTTTTTGTTGTTTTTATCTCCAGATGCCTTGCAGCTTATGGTTTCTCTTGATGATAAACATTGTCTTTGTTACTGTTGGAAATCATTAGCGGTTTACAAAGAAGTAGTAAATATTAGGTAATGGAATTTGTTATTTTTCAGATTAAAAAAATATTTATTGACATTTTTTCAGTGTTTTTGTTAGTTTCAAGCCATTGAAATGTAGTTTAAACATCAGTGGTGGTGGTTACAGGGCTAGTGTTCCAAAAACCTCCCATTAAAACTTCAGTATTTTCTAAACCAAAGAAACAACACTTATTTTCTTCTTGTTCGGGGAGCATCTCTTTCTCCTTTGATTTATTTTTTTGAGCATGGAGGAAATACGGTGTGTCAGGGAGCTCCGCTTAAGGCTGTCCTTGTCCCCATCCGTTTCCAGCTAGGGGATGTTTGGGGCGTATTCATTTAAACTGCCAAATTTCTCCTCCACGCACCAAAGCCAGGTGAGAGCTGAGCTGGGGTACGGTGGGGTCCAGCGCAGCGGCAGGTTGCATTCTGCTTCCGAGGAGCCGGCTGAGCTGAGCGAGGGCAGCGGTGGCTTCGCACAGTCAGGACAATGTGAAGCTTGCTGTACAGCACAGGGGTGGTGTTCTCTGTCACCAAAGGTGATGGGAGGTGACCAGTTACAAATTCTGAATCTTAGAACGGTGGAAATCTGTCAGTCTTGGTTGGACTGCTACAGGTTTGGCTTGAGGTTTTTTTGCTGTGTCAGAATGCACCGCTGGGATAGAACCAAAGGTGCACGTGCCTGAGAGAGCGCGGGCCAGGGATGTGCAGCTAAAACCTCGCCCCAACTTGTGCAACACAAAGGGCTGACGGCTCTTGCTCAGGCTGGGGTGGCCATGTACTTCTCTGCTTTAAGACAAAAGGTCGCTTCTAATTGGAATGAGAATTTTTTCACTGCAGAGTCTTGAAAAAGAGGATTCTGTTGTCATTACATGTGAGTTCCTTACCACTGGGGTATGATGCACTTAGTGAATACCTTCTGTGTTGGGAAGCAATAGTTTAAAAATTACTTAAAGAAAATATTCCAAAACCAGTTGCTTTCGAAGGTAAGTGCCCTCAGATGCAGTGGCCACATCCAGGGGAAATGCCACCAAGGTGCCTGGTTGTAACGTTGGCTGACTTCTCTTGTAGACCGAGGATTTGATCAAAGCGCTACAAGACCTGGAAAACGCAGCATCAGGAGATGCGACAGTGCGGCAGAAAATTGCCTCCCTGCCTCAGGAAGTTCAGGATGTTTCATTACTGGAGAAAATTACAGGTATGGAACTGGAAGTTGAATGAACATGGGTCCAAAGAATAACGTAGAAATCAAAGTGTTTTTTTCTTTAAATAATCACAGTGTATGGTGGAGTGAATTCCTGCTTCTGTGTCCTTGATTTGTAGCTCTTGGGTAATTAATAGATAGCAATCCTTTGAAGTAAAATTAAAGGTGAAACTTGGATAGCTGCTTCCGTTCCTTTGGCTTGAACTGAGGCTTTTGTAGTTGGAGAGCATCAGCGGCATTTTGCAAGAATGTAAAGGGAAGGGGGCCAGAGCTCTCAACGGATGGGTTTGATTTTGAACGCCTCGGCCGTTAGATATTTTTGAGGTTTATCAGACTGTGCTGGGTACAGACATACTCCTGGATTGCTATGGAAAAGGAAACTCGCCGCCCCCATTATCCTGCCAGTCTTTGTTTAAATGGATTTTTGCAATTGTATTTGAAAAGTGATCTTAGTAGAAGCATTTAAAGGTTGAACTGATTTGACTCCTGTTCCTGGAAGCAGTTTTAATTTAGAGCTCATTATGAACTGTCGCTTATTCAGCCCTTTATGTTGTACTCTTACAGTGTCCGGCTGTGAAGACTAGTGTGCAATTCACGTGTTTGCTTGTGTGACACATTAGGAGTTATTCAGAGAAAAGGGGAATTAAAGTGCACACTGTGTTTAAATGGGGAAGCCACCTGATTCGTTTAACTGCAAGTACAGCCTCATGTTTTGGTTCAATTAACCTGTTTATAGAGGCTAACTTCATAGATTTATATATCCCCCCATCGCTGACATCTGTGCAAGAATAAAATGCAGTCAATCAGTGTCTAAACGACACCATTCTGGGGTTTAGTCCTGCCTATTTCCTCTGCATCCCCTGTGATAAGAGCGCTCTTTTCCTGTCGAGCCAGAAGTGCTTTTATGAATGAGATGTTACTGTGCATGTAGCCCTTCTGTCAAAGGTGGAAGGTTTTAAACTTTGTCCTCTAAGTTGCCCACCGCTTTTGCGTGTAGACAAAGAGGCAGCCGAACGTCTCTCGAAGACCGTGGACGAAGCGTGCCTGCTCCTGGCGGAATACAACGGCCGGCTGGCAGCAGAGCTGGAGGACCGGCGCCAGCTGGCCCGCATGCTGATCGAGTACACCCAGAACCAGAAGGATGTGCTAACAGAGAAGGAGAAGAAGCTGGAAGTGAGTACTGATCACACCGGTGTCTCGGCAAACACTCCCACCTGACACCTGATCTATGTGTGTGGCTCAAGGTTCTCGGTGTTCTCTTTCCGTTTGGAGTAAAATGGGTAAGAAAGTGGTGTAAAAAGTCCGGAGAAGGCAAATTATTCTGATGTTCAGTCTAGTATGTTTTAGTGCACGTGGACATGGCAGGCCCAGAACTCCATACTCCTTAAAGAAAAACAGGCTCATCTAACAAAGTTTCTTCAGACTTAGCCTATTTTTTTATGAAATCCCTATTTCTGAAAAAAATCAACCTCCCTTTGCTGTAATTAGCTGGGTTTTTTATTGGCTGCGTTTTTGTGACTCGTCCTTATGGTTGGGTGCCCCTCATCTGCCTTCCCAGCCCCTACGTGATAAGGGGCGGCAGCTTAAACAAGACGTTCTGGCATCCGTCCTTGAACAGCCACTCTTGCCTACAGCCGCTGTGGTGGGCGTAAATTGGGCTGAAACGGGAAGGCGCCGACTGGTGTTTCCTGCCGTGGCTCCCTCGAGCGAGGAGGGCAGGACTCTGCAGAGCGAGGCCGCGCTGGCTGCGCCTGAGCACCGGCTGCACGTCCCGCAGCAGCGCGGAGGCTGGGGCAGCCGGCCGTGCAGCTGCAGCCTTCGTTCTGGGGGACGTTCTTTCGGCACCGCGTCTTGGGGCTGGTGTGGAAGTTTAATTAATGATCCTGGTTGTATGTCACTCTGCCATCTGTTAAACTGCCCCTTGGCGGCACATTAAGGGCTGCCTCCGCGCTGGCGGCGGCTGGTTACGGCGAACAGCTGCTGCTGGGTGGGACAGGAGTTGCTGCAGAGGACAAGTCTTCTGGAAGGAGACGGTGCTGTAGCGCTTGCGGGCTGTGTTTGCTGTCATGACAGACCTCATCATCTGACAGCGAGGCAGCTTGTTCTGAGGCGAGTTGCACTTGGAGTGTTTTCTTTGTCATGTGTGTTTATAGTGGAGGCTCTCGGTGTCTTGTGACCCTGAATGTGTTGCTTTTCCAGAGCAATGTGTTTTCCAGATGAGCCAGTCGAGTGCTGGTTCTGCATTCAGATTAGAGTGGATAGTTAGTAATTCTGTTGGCTTGTTAAGCTTGTATTTCTTGAAGCATAGCGTCTGTCTTACGACTGAGTCATTAAAGGGCACTTTCAGACAGGGATATGAAAGATGCCATAAAACCAAATCCTATTTGGCACCTGATTTATTTGCTGAATTCTGGTAGAAGTCTTTGGTCAGTTTTTTGGTTTTGGGTTTGTTTTTGTTGTTTTTTTTTTTTCCTTACTGGAAGAAGGACACCTGTCTAATAGAAAGATATATGTATGTGTGTATGTATATATAAAAATCGATATAAATGATAGACGTATTGCTGTTTACTTTTTCTTAAAAAGGCAAGAAGGAGGTATCAAAATGGTGCACAGCAGTGTTTTAAAAAGCCCAGAACAATCCATAAATTTGAGTCAGTTTGAGACTGTGAAATGAAGAAATTCATAATGACAACATTAAATTAAGATTTCTAATGCACTAGCTGAAATGTTGTGACAATTGTGGTGTTTTTTGTTTTGGAAAATATCACAGAATTACAGAACGGTTTGGGTTGGAAGGGACCTTAAAGACCATCCAATTCCAACCCCCAGCCACGGGCAGGGACACCTCCCACCAGACCAGGTCGCTCCCAGCCCCATCCAGCCTGGCCTTGAGCCCTGCCAGGGAGGGGGCAGCCATGGCTGCTCTGGGCAGCCTGTGCCAGCGCCTCACCACCCTCACAGGGAAGAACTTCTTCCTTATATCTCATCTAGATCTCCCCCCGTGCAGTTTGAAACCGTTACCTCTTATCCCATCACTGCCCTGCCGGCTCAGGAGTCCCTCCCCACCTCTCCTGCAGCCCCCTTCAGCACTGAAGGCCGCTCTAAGGTCTCCCCGGAGCCTTCTCCTCTCCAGGCTGAACAACCCCAACTCCCTCAGCCTGTCCTCACAGGGGAGATGCTCCAGCCCCCTGAGCGTCTTCGTGGCCTCCTCTGGACCCGCTCCACAAGGCC